ATTCAAAGGCCTCAATCCTTTGAATTGTGGTGCTGGAGGAGACTCCTGCGAGTCCCTTGGACCGCAAGGCGATCAAACCGGTCAGTCCTAGAGGAGATTAACCCTGACTGCCCTTTAGAAGGCCAGATACTGAAAATGAAACTCAAATACTTTGGCCACCTAATGAGAAGGAAGGACTCCCTGGAGAAAAGCCTAATGCTGGGAACAATAGATGGCAAAAGAAGAAGGGGACGGCAGAGGATGAGGTGGCTAGATGGAGTCACAGAAGCAGTTGGTGTGAACTTAAGTGGACTCCGGGGGATGGTGGAGAACAGGAAGGCCTGGAGGAGTGTTGTCCATGGGTTCGCAAAGGGTCAGACACAACTTCGCAACTAACAACAGCAAAATGAATGCAAAATGAGGATACCATTTTTGAGCTGAAACAATGAGAGCTTCAAGAAGTCATTTCTTATTATCTTATTTATTATGAATGAATGAATGATTCTTTAAAATTACATTCATACCCCATTCTCCATCCAAAAATGCTCCCAGAGTGGCTTCTGTGGAATTAATAAGGCAACTCTGGCCCACAGGTTTACAATCTAAAAACATGACATGAAAGGGAAATGGGACAGAGAGGGAAAAGGAAAAAAGAAAACTCAGGCACGTGTGTGTGAAAACACTTGTGCATGCCTGGTAGGCCTCTCCAGATAGGGAGTTTCCAGGAACTGTTTGAAAAAACACCCCTGTTCTAAACCTGTAAAATTCAGGACACTGACATGTGGGGGAGCTGCCATCCAGGAAGCAGCAAAATTATGTCTCTTGAGAGCCACTGGGGAGGGACAGTGACCCTGGCTTCAGGGATCCAGCACCCCCCCCCCGGGGGCTCCCTTCAAAATAAACGGGGGGGCCCTGGCCCCCCCCCCCCCGAGGACCCCCTCCACCACAACCTTGGTTTCAAAACCATGGCAGAGGTCCTGGAGGATGAGGTTCCACAAATTTGCATGCGGTATCATGAGTACACAATAATTATTTCACCTCAAGAAGACATTCAGGTTCGAAAGTTTGATCAACTGTTTGTTTAACCATAAGAAACATTTTCAAAACACCTATTGTACCTGCAACATAAAATGCTACCTTTCCTCACAGCAAATAGCACATAAAAGATCTTTCGGGATACATCAACGAAGGCACTGAAGGCCTCACGTGCAGCCTGCCTTCTTCCTTTATATTTCAGCTCTCTCCCTGCATGTCAGTACAAAAACGTCCCTTAATCTGCAGTCACTAATGTAAGGGGCAGCTGTAAAAGCAAGTTAATAAACAACTGCCGCTCTCCTGTAGTAATGTACCAGCCAAGGTCACAGGAAAGCCAAAACTCTTCTTCCAAATGGAGGCTTTTAACAGAGGCTGTGTGCTACTGAGAACAGCAAAATGCTGATGTAACGGCATGGGGGTAGGGGAAATAGTAAGGCCGTTCGTAAACTGTAGCACAGAATGGGTGTCTGGAAGCAATGCCCCGTTGAATCTGTGAAAACACCTTTCCAGAAATCATTTTTAAAATAACGATACCGTTGCAAACAACATGGACATCACAACTGTACCCCAAGCAGAAGCACGTGGATGTTACTGAAATCGCTCCAGCGGCATTGAGAATGTTCTCACACCGTCATGCCTGTTCCCTTACAGACTGGGGTGGGGAGCCAGGATCATGTGTTAGTTATAAGAAGGAAGGAGGAGGAGCTTTTTGGTGTTAGCAGAAGTGAGGTATAGGCATAACAGGCCGGATCCCCGGGATGCAGGAACATGTGACAGGTGAATTCCTCTGCCCTTGCTGCGAGAGGAAAGCCGGCAGTTCCCTTTGAACAAAAGCTGACAGATCTCAGCTCTGGTTCAGGAGGTGAGAATGGGAAGCTCCCATCCTTCAATGAAAACAATGCAAGCAAAAAAGAAAGGGGTCTAAAATGCCAGGATGTTTGTGTAACTGATGGAGTACTGGCTTCACTGCATTTTGAAAGCATGTATTCTTTTGAAGGGCTATCCAAACAAGGAGTCATCATAACACAGAGGCAGTCACCCTGATCCCCTCTCTCACAAAAAAAAAACCCCTTTAAAAAAAAGAAGTAAATAACCCTTTTAAAAATTGCCAGAATTATGCAAGCACAATGAAATCTCCCCATCCAGATTTCTTCCTGCATTACACTCAAGATGTTTTTACGGGAAGGAGGAATGACAAATACACAGAAAGACACTTGCTGTTAGTCAAAGGCCATGAGCTATTGAATGACAAGTACAATTTGCTTATGTAGATATTGACCCTTTCCACGACAATTCAATGGGGATTTGACTCCATGACTGCAAGCAGTGTTCAAGAAGAGGCACAATCACCATGATTTAACCAAGGACTAGAGAGTGACCCCCATCCTGGGAATCCCTCCTTTTTTAGGGCTGCTTGGGCCTGATGCAAGTGAGGCAACTCCCCCCCCCCCCCCGCCCACTGGATGCTATGCACTCCCTGCCCCACCACATTCCTCGCCAGGGCCCCAGTCACTTGACTCCATGTAGTGACATTTCCCTGTGCCCCATAAACCTTCTGTGTGGCCCTATCTTTTATTGGGTTCTGTGCAGATGGAGAGGTTGCAGTTTCTCCTCTTTGATGTCATCTTTTCCAAATAGAAGATGCTACCAGTATAGTGCAACAAAGATTCCTTTGGGAAGCTCCTTGGTGGATCAGTGTAGTAAAACACATATATGTTCCTGGAGTCACCCAATCATCTGGCTTCTCATCTATATATCCTGCCCACATTTCAAAGCTAGAAGCCAGTCATGTCTGACAGGTGTGCAACCTTACACAATGATATTGCTTGCTTCAGATTACTGCACACTGTGCATTTCTCTCTCCAGGGCATGACTTTTAGCCATATGAGTGACAGTGACTGGGCTCATTTTTCTCAGCAGCAGCTCATTATGGATAACTAGGTAACTAGCCATGGTGGGTTCTCATGCCATGCAGATCTGGGCTGCCTCCCACTGAATGGGTTGTTCTTCCCCCTGACAAGCCTTGCTCTAGGTGTTGTTGGACCCATGATCGGTTGTTGCGTCATCCAAATGCAGGCAGCCAACCTTCTGCTGGGTCCAGGGAAGCAGAAAGCAAGCTACTTGACAAGAGCAGCAAGAAGCCCTTGCCAAAGTACCCAAGTGGCATTTTGGCATGACTGTCACTGGCACACTCCCCCCAACTGTGATCATGACACCTTTTGTGATTTCCATGGCCTTGTTGGTCCATTTCCTCAGAAGCTGTAGTTCACCCCCTTTGTAGAAGCAATTGCTTTGGGTAGCTGTTAAAAGTAAAGGTTTCTTCAAAATAGGTTATTTGATGGGGTCATTTGATGGGGATGCAGATGGCTGCATCTGCCTCTGTCAAAAATCAAAATCTCTGTTTAGCTCTGTCAAACATCCTGCTTTAAAATCAGCAAAAACATTTGTGTACATTTCTGCTCCAAAAAGAAAAGAAAAGAAAAGAAAAGAAAAGAAAAGAAAAGAAAAGAAAAGAAGGCAGGCAGGCAGGCAGGCAGGCAGGCAGGCAGGGGCAAACCTGCATTTTTGCTCCAATGTTATTTTATTTATTTTTAGACCGCCCCACAGCTCAGAAGACTTTCTGGGTGGTTTACCATAAAATGCAGTAACATCAACAGTAGCTGTAATAATTGGCCTGGCAGCTGAACCCATGTTGAACCAGTGCCAAACGGGTGTTTAATGGGCAATACCTTTGGCACCACCTTTTGACATCGCCCAAGGGTGCCATTTGCTGAAGAAGAGGGGCTGTCACTGGCTACTTAGGAGATTATTAAAAGTGGTCTCTAGGCAAAAAAAGTGACTCAGAAAACCACAGCAATGGCAAAACTGGTTGCAGTGGCAGAGGGGAAAGGAGACAAGGTGGGCTATGCAGTGCAGGTACCTGGGATACCTGTGGAAGGACCAAGGGAGAAGTGGAATAAAAGCCACAGTGTATCTGATCACCCATGGATCGTTCCATGAAGAACCCACACCATGTAGCTTATTTGCTGGGTGACTTGCCGTATTGTATGAACTGACACAGCGTGCCTTAGGCTTTTGATTTGCAATACAGCAG